CTATTAGGTCAGAACCCATTATTCGCTTGACAGTGGTTTCCTCAACCTCAGAAACAAAGTAGATGAAGAGCTGTTTAAAGCTAAATTCTCCCATTGCAACACAAACCCAAAGCTTAGATTTCAGGCAACTGGAATCCTCAAAGTAAGACTTCAACTGACCCCACACAAGAGCAAAAAAAAAAAAAAAAAAAAAAAATGCATCTCTAAATTGTCTCCTTTGCTGGCTTCTGCAAAAGAATAGAGGAGGCAAAATTCACATTTACATACTACCTTATTTAAAAAGAAAAGAAAAGAAAAAAACCTGAGGAAGATTATTGCTACAAAATGAAGCAAATACAAATAAATGAATTCAGACAATAAAGCCAGATATGAAAATCAGCGTATGACAGTCCTGTGTGATGCCTGGGATTTGATGAGTCCTGGGAACTTAGAGCTAGCTGAGTACTGCAGCAGCATGGATTTGCATGGATTCCTTATTTTTTCAGCATTTGGCAAGTGCCAAAAACTGTCCTTGCATCAGAGTTTCCTTTCTAGAACTTCCCATAACTTATTTGAAGATGGGCCTTCTTATGGACTCATAATAATTCTGAAGTATCTTCCAAAATTAATCCCAGTTTTAATTTGGGAAGATAACAGGAAGCATACCAGTTGCATTAAATATTTAATTGTGCACATGCTTTCACATACACAAACATATTTTTTTATATTAAAACCCAGTAAACATCCGGGCTGGTGGGGCGGCTCAAGTGGTAAGAGTTCAAATCCCAGTACCACCAAAAAAAAAAAAAAAAAATTCAGTGAACGTTAGAGGCACAGTATGCTTGCTTCAAAAAGAAAAATAGTAATGCACTGAATAACATAAAGAATAAGGAGTTAGGAAGAATCCAAAGGAAGAATCCAACAGAGCTTGCTAGGCAGGCTCTTTATCACTTGAGCCACTCTGCCAGTCCCTACCTTGTTCTTAAGTTACAAGTTGAGAGAAGGTTGTGAGAGGAGAAAAAGAGAGCTAAATTACCTAAAAGTCTTTCTAGTTTATGGGAGATAAACATAAAATTCTAGATTTTCTCCCACTGACTCAACAAAAAATGAGGTGCTCTAAAATCTTATTTAAATTTTATTTTATGCTATGACTCCTAACCACGTCTTTTCAAAGCCCCTGAAAACGCTGGGGGAACTGCATGGGGACAACATGTCCCTAGAAGCCGCCACCGGACGCACCTCCGCGCCAGGTGCGGCCACCACCTCCTCCAGGAGGCGAAGAGAAGGCGTTTCTGGCACCTGATCTGCCGGGGCGACTTGCTGGCCGGTCACCAGCAGCTCCTTCCCGACTACCTTTGCACAACCGGGCTTTGACCAGCAGCTCCGTCCCTTTGGTGAATGCTGGTGTTCTTCCCTCACCGCAGTGCCTCCATTCATAATAAAAACGAAATGTGTCCAAGGAGATGGTAGAGAGAGCTACCTTCTGCGGCGCTTATATTGGAAGTATGTTTTTTTAATTCACCAGACAGCCATGATCACACATTTGGAAGGCAGCCCTGCCAGCTCGCCTTGAGTGCTGGAGAAGAAAGCAGATGCAGCCCCACGCCAGGCGCGCGCCCCCTGGTGGCCGGACCTGGCCAAAGCGCAGCGGCGCCTGCGCTCGCCGGAGACTCAATGGATTCCGACTTCCAGCCCGCCCCGGCGGCCGGGGAGGCCCAGCTGTCCCGAGCTGGCAGCCCAGAAAACTCGGCGGGGCCGGCCGACGTAGCCTCATCCTCCCTCAACCCAGGGGTGAGGGGCACGTAGCCTAGCGCCCGGAAAGAACGCTTGCTACTTCCCCTGCCACCTCTAGTTGCAAAGGTTCAGGAGAAAAGCCCTGAGAAACATGGAGAGGGCAGGGCGAGAGCGCAGGGAGGCCGGCAACGCGCCGGGGACTTTCTGGAGCAAGAGGTCGTGGGAAGGGTGTTATTGCCAGGGAAGCAGCGAACGGATGAGGGCTAGAGCTGGACGAATCTAGCGCGTTTTCCTACGACCGCATTCCAACAGCTCTAACCCCGCGTGGGACAAGCTCGCAGGTGCTTGCTATGAGGGAATTTTGACCTTACAGCAGGTACTTCCCTACTCAGTAAAAGCATTCTGAAAGTCGTTAGATGGAATGCAATACTAGGTGTTGTGTATGCATTTTAACTTCCCACTGGTGCTCCCACGTGCAGGCACGTTTTTTTAGTACGTGAACGGCGGTTAGGGCAGTGGGTATACTATTTTCTATTTCATAAGTGGGAAAGTGCTCCACTTTCGGCATGGGCATTCGGAACTTCTTGAGAAATGTAGGTGACAAAGAGTGCGAAATAAAGGATGACTACTGGTTAAGTAAAGGAGGAATTCCGCAGTGGAACAGTGAGCCTACACACGCACACATACACACACGCCCAATTTCGGAAGTGCATGATGTCGCCCTGAGTAATCATGTATGGGTTTTACTGAATTAACTTAAAAACTCAGGTTGTAGAATTTCCTTCGTCTATTGCATGGAGCAAAAGAGTAAAAAAAGATCTTCAAAAAGCCTCCATGGAAACCCTCCTTTAAAAAAAAAATCGTAATAAACCAAGAAACTACAAGTCGACACACTCAAAACCAAATCCCAGCAAGGACAGAAGGAAGTTGAAACCCGAATCTGCATTCCTCCCGTGCAAGGCTCAGAGGTGGGGGAGGCGGTTTGTGCTGGTGTATAATCGGGTTAATCCAGTAGACAAAGAATAAACCAATAGCCCTCCCACCTCACTTCCCGCTCCCCTTTCCCTCTCCCCCTCCACTGCCCCCCCTACCACCCCCCGCCTTCCGCGCGGGGGAACCGACCAAAGGAGAGGTGATCTGAAGTGGATTGTGGATAAAAGTCTGAAAACCTGCAACTTGTTTTTAATGCTAACACTGCACGGTCCGGACGACTTTGAAATGTTCATGCTCCCTTTCCTGGTGGCAAAGAGAAAGTTCCTTAAGTCAGCCCCAGCCTAGGGCTCCGTCCTCGTGGCCTCTGGGGAAACCTTAAGGTCAGTGTTTCCTTGAAACCAGATAAACTGACCTCGCCGTGCCCAGCCCGGCCCCGCGGGCGCCCCGCATGACGGCGCCCGGGCGGCAGGACCGGCCTGGGGACGCGCGGGGCGGCGTGGTTGCCCTTTTGAATGCCTCCTGCAGCTCGGAGCGCTGGCGGGCGCAGGAGTGTGAGTGAATGTAGCCCCGCGGAGCCAATGAGCTGGGACCGGATGCGATATATCCTCTGGGACAACAACTGCTCTGTTCCGCCTCGGATCCACATGACGCCATTTACTGCTGCCGCGGCCGCCGCAGAGCTCCCTGCCTCCTCCGGAAAGGCGAGGGCGCAGGCCAACCGCGAGCCCCCCCGGCCGGGCCCCAAACCCTCCTCCTCCTCTTCCTCCTCCTCCTCCGCACCCACCGCCCCCGCCTCGGCCTTTCTGCCGCGCCTCCACAACGCCCAGTCTGCACCGCCGAGAGCTGCGCGCCGCAGCGCGAGCGGAGGAGAGGGGCCGGCGCAGCGCGCAGCGCCCAGGCCCCCGCGCCGCCCGGCCCGGCTCGCGGCCCCGCGCCCCTGCGCCGCCTCTACTCCGACACTGCCGGGGCTGCACTTATTGGCGATCCGGCTTTAGGGTCTTTGTAAGGCCGTTTCTTTTCTCATTCGCTCGTCTGCCAGGAAAAGGGACTTCGCTGTTGGCGCTTCGGCCTCTTGTTCATTGAGAAAAAAGAGGAAATACTCCGCGTGCGCTTCTGGAAGGGGGGTCATCCCTGAGCTCCGGAGTGTTCATCGGCGGGGGACTCGGCTCCGAATTTTCCTCTTGGTTTTTTTGCTCCAGCCGATTGCTCAGAAGTTGGACTGAAGCAGAGTTTGGAAAGAAAAAGGGGGAAAGTTTGCATCGGGGCTGGATTTATTTGCACATCACAGAAAGAAGAGAATCCAAGGGAGAGGGGTTTGCAAAGCCGCGATCACGGTGAGGCGCGTTGGGTTCTTCCCCTCCTGGAGCCGTGGCCAGCGCGTTGTGGGCAACATGGAGTAGGTGCAGCCGGCCGGGAGTGGGGTCCGTCTGTCCCTTAGCCCCTGCAGGCTTCCCGCGAGGACCCAGGGAGCTGCCGCGGATCTGCATTACTGAGAGCACCGGCTCGGCCTGCCTTGGCAGGGCTGCCGAGTGCGCCCGGTGCAGTGTCCCCGGCCGGCAACCCTAAGTGCCCGCGTTCTAGGGAGGGTTCGGGGCCGAGAACGGCTCGCCTGAATTTTGCTCGTATCCCTACACTAAACACGAATTTGGCGCTGAGATGGGAAGGAAAACACTGTTTTCCAGGTCGCCGTTGTAGGCGCTCGCAATGCTAACCTGTTCCTTTTCAGTGGAAGGCAAAGTTGTGGTGAGCCTGTCCTGAGGCAGGGGTACCGGTGGGTTGGAGTGCTGGGCTGGCGACCTCACCCGGGCAGGGGACCCCGCGGGTGAGAAAAGGGCGCAGAGTGCCCGCGAGGAAAAAGCCTTTGCCTTTGCCCCGTGTGGACACAGTCTAGCCGGGTGCGGGTGTAAGCGTCGCCCAGCCTGGCGCCGGGTCTCTGCGGTTCGGAAGTGCAGCTTTCTCTTTTTTCCGTTCCCCGTGGTCGGCCTAGGTCAAGCTTTTTTAGTTTTGGACTCTTGGGCTGACCTCGCACAGGAAGAAAGTCATCAGGTGGTTGTGATCGGTTTCCATTACCTGAAAGTAGGTGGCAAAAGAGGTGTGTGTGTGTGTTGTGTTGTGTTGTGTTTTCCATTTGGAATCTTTAGTGCTTTTTACAAAGCGGTTTCTGTGTTGGTTTGCCCCACCCTAGTGCTTAAGTCCTTTCCCCCTAATCTTTAGTCTGATCACACACACTTCTTAATGGGGGTTTCAAAGCACTCTCAAAGGAGAGAGAAGAAATGGGAGAGCGCAAAAGGGTTGGGGGGGGGTGTTGCGAAGGAGGCCAGGAGTGGGCAGAAATCATTTTTTTCCCCTTCCCTAAGATGCTACCTTCCATTGTACGCAAATCTGCGCGTAAAGTTTCCAGCTCAGGGATCTGACTCCTGCACGCCTCGCGTGTGCTGAGGAACTGTGGAAAAATATTTTTTTTTTTCACTTTAAGAAATATATATATCTCCCTCGAACTAAAAGGAGACTGGCATGTGCAGATCACAAGCAGTGCTCGCTTGAGTCCGTGCCCCGTGGAGTCGCTGTGCGCGTGGGGAGGACCTCTGTCTTGGCTGTGCGTCGGCGGCCCGGCATTCTTCCTTCGGGCGTCGGGTTTAGAAACCTGTGCCGGAAGTTCCCAGGGCCTTTGTAGAAACGCCTGGTGGTGGGCTGTGTGACCTTGCGGGGGTGGGGGCATTGGAGGGGCTCCCTCTTGGGGCTGCAAGGCAGTTCGCTGGACTTGGGGAACGTTTTAGCCGAGAGGGAGAGGCGGGAGAAGTGTGCTCGTGCGTTTCATGACACGTCCCCTCCAGAGGCGCCCGCGCCCCCCTCCCGTCTGCGTCTCGGGACTGTGCGCAGGGGGGCCAACCCGGCCCCTGGACAGCGTCAGTCGGCCTGCGGAAAAATCCCTCGGGGTTCTGGCTGTGTCCCACCTGCTGGGGACGGTGTTGGGACGCAGATAGAGCCGATAAACACAGTGAAAGCCCAAAGCAGCGTTGTCTTGTCTGCCATTCTGTTGGAGGTGAGATCCGGTTTCCAGGTCTGCCTTGTTCTGAATCTGGAAGCGTTTGTCACCTGCCTGGTTCGCTGTGGCTTTTTTTCCAAAAAGCGGAGATTGGATAAAGGTTTACTTTTGCCTGTTTTATTTCTATCTTCATAGAGGCTTGGAAAAGGGAATGATACTTTTGATATTCAAGAGTGACTGCAATTAGAACGATTTCTTGATAATGCTAGGTGTTAAGTGTGGCACTTGAGTTTTTAGAACTTTACCTATTACTACCAATTGGTTTATGTTCTCAGCTATTGATTTTCAAAACTAGAAAATAACCTTTGAGCTGCGGAATCGGAGATGGTTCTACAAGCCTATCAGTATCTATAATATTTTAAGTGTCAAATTGAGAATGTGAAAATAATTTCCCATATTGTTACTTGTTGTGTAAGTTTGCTTTGATGTGTTTCTGATCCCTAATAGGATTTGAAATTGCTTGTTTTTAATCCAGTAACTTTAAGCTACTATATAGTTATTAAAAATCATAAACTTTATGTCCTCAAGGAGAAATGCAAGTTTGCATGTTGCAGTCATCCTAAAGAATTTAAAGAAGTTACAGAATATTGCATAAGTCATAGTGCAAGTGTTTGATGTCAAAGTAGACTTTCAGAGCAAAGAATTTTCTAGGTTGCATTTGTTACTGTTCACGAAAATGACCATGACAAACTTAAACCTATTTCAAATTTTGAAAAAGTATTTAACTTTCGAAAACGTTGTAGGAATATTATGTTCCAACATTACGTTCTTGCAATTTTTATGTTGAACCTGAACCTTCCAGATTGTGTGTTTGATTTGGGGATTGTTACTTGAGTGATTCAGACAAAGATCAGCTTGGAGTCACTGCATTGAAGGATTACAGAGTTGTCAGTACCCGGCCATAATTTTTATTTCTCACTGCATGCGTGCCCTGATCAAATGGCTGTTCTTACACCTCCCTGCTGCCACTCCATTTCAAATCCTGTGTCTGTAAGGGATGTGGGAAGAGTCCATTCAAGTGGGTGGAGAGTAGGAAGTACATTGGAGTATAAACCATTCTCTTTCCTCTTGGTGTTTTCCCCTAGGAGTTCAGATGTGTGCTAAGCCTGCTGGAGTGAACACACTTCCAAGACCTGATGGAGGCCAGAGCTCAGAGTGCCAACGGGTCGCAGCCCTTGCTGCAGGCGCCCCGTGACAGTGGCAGGCAGCGTGGGGAGCCCGACCCCAGAGATGCCCTCACCCAGCAGGTCCATGTGTTGTCTCTGGATCAGATCAGAGCCATCCGAAACACCAATGAATACACCGAGGGGCCTACTGTGGTCCCAAGACCTGGGCTCAAGCCTGCTCCTCGCCCCTCCACTCAGCACAAACATGAGAGACTTCACGGTCTGCCTGAGCACCGCCAGCCTCCCAGGCTCCAGCACTCGCAGGTCCATTCTTCCACGAGAGCCCCTCTGTCCAGGTCCATCAGCACGGTCAGCTCAGGGTCTCGGAGCAGTACAAGGACAAGTACCAGCAGCAGCTCCTCTGAACAGAGACTGTTAGGATCATCCTTCTCCTCCGGGCCTGTTGCTGATGGGATAATCCGGGTGCAGCCCAAATCTGAGCTCAAGCCAGGTGAGCTGAAGCCACTGAGCAAGGACGATTTGGGCCTGCATGCCTACAGGTGTGAGGACTGTGGCAAGTGCAAGTGTAAGGAGTGCACCTACCCAAGGCCCCTGCCATCAGACTGGATCTGCGACAAGCAGTGCCTTTGCTCGGCCCAGAACGTGATTGACTATGGGACTTGTGTTTGCTGTGTGAAAGGTCTCTTCTATCACTGTTCTAATGATGATGAGGACAACTGTGCTGACAACCCGTGTTCTTGCAGCCAGTCTCATTGTTGTACACGATGGTCAGCCATGGGTGTCATGTCCCTCTTTTTGCCTTGTTTATGGTGTTACCTTCCAGCCAAGGGTTGCCTTAAACTGTGCCAGGGGTGTTATGACCGAGTTAATAGGCCTGGATGCCGATGTAAAAACTCAAACACAGTTTGCTGCAAAGTTCCCACTGTCCCCCCCAGGAACTTTGAAAAACCAACATAGCATTATTAATCAGGAATATTACAATAATACGGATTGTTCTTTTTTTTTTTTTTTAACACATATGCAACCAACTTAACAGTTGTAATCTTGGCACTGTTAACAGAGGTTTGGGATGTTTGCTGTTTGCAGTGAGATGCTTTCTGTCCATGTGCCATTTTAACTGATGCTTGTTAGAACTCAGCTAATGGAGCTCAAAGTAAAGGATACAGAACTCGGTGGCCCACATGCTGCATAAGCTAAAGCAGCAGACACTCCTAGGCAAAGTTTCTTGTTTGTGAATACCCCTTGCAAAATTTGTAAATTAGCAAACAACTCTTTTTCCATTGTTTTCTCCAGAGATAATGTGCTATATTTTTGTATATACAATAATATTTGCAACTGTGAAAAAACAAGTTGTGTCATACTACATGGCACAGTCACAAAATATTATACTAATATGTTGTACATTCGGAAGAATGTGAATCAATCCGTATGTTTTTAGATTGTATTTTGCCTTACAGAAAGCCTTTATTGTAAGACTCTGATTTCCCTTTGGACTTCATGTATATTGTACAGTTACAGTAAAATTCAACCTTTATTTTCTAATTTTTCAACATATTGTTTAGTGTAAAGAATATTTATTTGAAGTTTTATTATTTTATAAAAAAGAATATTTATTTTAAGAGGCATCTTATAAATTTTGCCCCCTTTATGAGGATGTGATAGTTGCTGCAAATGAGGGGTTACAGATGCATATGTTCAATATAAAATAGAAAATATATTAACGTTTGAAATTAAAGTGAGCTTGTTTTGTCTTATTTTACCTGTGTGTTTGTTTCTTTCAAATGCAAGAAACCACAAATTATGCTAAGGCTAAGAGTTGTAATGAAAGTCTCACTTGTCCTAAGATTCTTTTTATCTCATGGTGGCTGCTTTAATATAAGGTGGATCTGATGATTTTTCAGAGATAATTCTGCCTATCAAGAGAGAAGTAACTGAATATTTGACTCTGGGCTGCATTGATCATGGGTACTTGTTTTGGCTATGTCATTCCCCTTTCTTCCCTGTGTTTTGGAGGACTTGCCTAATTTATTATGCAGGGTTTTTTCTTTGTTTTGGGGAGCTAAATGATTTGGGAGACTTTCTCAAAGATTTACAATTAGACTTTTTCTTAATAGACAGCATTAAGAATGAATACCATAAAGATAATTCAAAATAAGGAATGAATTCATTTCAACAAATACTTAGTGAATGTTTTCAGTGTGTCAAGTATGCAGTATATGTTTACATAGACCAGGCATTATAATTGGGACAAAAAACATTTTCTTGACTTAGTTGATCATAGCTGTGCTTTTTCTACTCTTTGGTTTTAAACTCTTGTATTTTATATGACTATTCATCTCATGTTGGCCAAGTAGCCAACTTGCATCCTGTCTTGTTTAATCAAATTATGTAGAAAATTGTTAAATTTTACTCTGAGTAAAAGATGAAATATGGCAAAAAGTCAGTATGTGTAGAGCTGTCTTTTGGGAACAAAGACACTGCAAGCTGCTACAAGTCCATCTTGACAAATATTAGGTATTCTTAAGTCACTTGATTAGTCACTTTGTGGCTGGTGAACTTTTTTTCTTTTTACAAAAGCACAAACTTTTGCTGCCAAGAATCACCGGAAGTCTAGGAAATGATTTACCTGCCATTATTGTTTAATCTCTTGTTTCCTGTTCTCTTAGGTTAAGAGGTCTTAGTACAGGGTGTCTTCTGTTTTGTTTTTTTAAATCTGGCTTTCAAGGAACCATATAGCCTCCTAAACTCTAAGGACTTTCAGTTTCTCTGAACTTCCATGCAGCACAAGATTAAATTAATTTAGAGATTATTTACTCTTAACGTTTCAACTTTGGGATGCACCAAATGTTCACGTAATGTTGGTTCTAATGTGCATTCTCAAATTTCACCCTGGTGATCTAAGGAAGAATTCGATTGCTGACAAATAAAGCAGCATTTCTTGCCCATTGTAGTTTTGAAGATTGGTAAAGCACAAACATTTTGGCTAATTAGCCTTGTTCACAGAGCTACCACATGCATTGATGGAGCATTTTTTGGTATAGAAATGGTGAAAGTCAGAATTTTTGTGGATTGTGTAAGCAGTTTTCAAAGTGTTCAGTAGACAAATTGCAGCAGATGTCATTGGGAGTTCACTGAAAAGTTAGATCAAAAGTTTCCCTGCAGTTAAGTGAGTTAGAACCTAATGATGTGGCCTGGAAACTTGCATTTTTAATCATTCCAGAGGTTTTGCACAGTCTGGGACTGCTGACTAGAAATTGCTTTCTGATGTACATTTTTTAATTAATTTTGATAGAAAGCATACTCACTGATTTGAATAAAGTATAAGTATATGCAACCAAAGTTAGAGGATATGTTGTAAATTTATATTAAGTCCTGGTGAAAATTTGAAGATGAATAGGAAAGTGGGATTCCTCAAGAAGTTTCAATTAATCTACTAAATGTTGAGTTTATAAACCAGTACAGAATTCATTTTAAAAACATGGAAAGCGAGGGTTGATAAGGTGGCTCAAGTGGTAGAACGTCTGCCTAGCAAGCATGAGGTTCTGAGTTCAAGCCCCAGTGCTGCCAAAAAAAATAAAATATGGAAAATTAAATGTTTATGTTTTGGTAGATTGAAGACAGGTGGTGCTCACTCATTCAATGTGTTAAAAAGATTTTTAAGTGTTGTATTTATCTACTTGGAAACGAAATGTTGAAAATTCCTATTACAAATACAAGTAATCCAATGGCCATTCTTTGATGTGATGGATTAAAAGTAATGATACAACAAAAATGCTGAGCATGTAGGGGAATTTTAAGAAACTTTTTTTGTTTCTTTGCTATCTAATTTTTTTTAAACTTGTGCTTGCTCTGTATTTGAGATTCAGTTAGCAATGACAACTTGATTGTTGTTACTTAACACATTCATTTACATATTTTGAGGAGGAGATTTTAAGGTCCTGTCAAATTTCTGCCATGATGGAGCATGCTCTGGGGATTGTCTGAAAGAAGAAAGCCAAAACCCAGGGAAATAATCCCAACAAGCTCTTTGCATAACTTCTTTCTCCAGCACACTTCTGTCCTAAGTACTACTTGACTCCAGGATACCTAAGTTAAAGTACTGATGATGTCAGCTAAATGAATTTGTTCTTGCACAGTGCTATGAGGTATTTGAAAGGTGTTGATATGTTTGATGTAATTTATTAGCTTTTGAGCATATATATCAAAATTTTTAAGGGTTTAATGGGTTTAGGGTTTCACTTGCAGTTATATTCACAAGTGGCCATTTGCTTTCCTCTCCTAAATGGGTAAAAGGAGCAGAGTGTAGGTGTAAGTCTCAACTTTGAAAACGCTGAACTCTAAGTCAAAACCAAGTTTCTTTGGTCTGGGGATGTAGCTCAGGGATAGTTTGCCTAGTATGCACAAGGCCCTGGGTTCAAACGCCAGCAAAACAAAACAAAACCTTACTATTTTGCACTATTTTAGTAAAGAAAAACATAAAAGGTTATTAACTAATAGTGCCAATATTGTATCATCTATTCTTTGGTTTGCAGTATCTATTAAGGCATTTAATCGTGTTAATTTCTATTTTAACTTGAAATAATGCTTCACTTCTTCATGGTAGGCTAAGTGGGTCTCCACTGAGATGACCAGACCTTTCTGATTTGACTGAAAATTGGTCCCCACACTGATACTACACATCTGGAATAGTTCATCACTGGTTTGGTCATTCAAGGGGATAGAGCAGGCTGACTGTAAACCCAGAACATCAGACTTTGCATGCTACACCTCCACTTTCCTTACATTATGAGAAACACCTATATGAACAATGAGCAAATGTAGATTCTATCAATAGTGCTATACACCTCTGGTCAGAATTGAAACACTCATTTGACTTACAGTCAAAAAAGACAAACTAAGTACCTTGGCACATTACTGTAATCAGTATTTGAGAAGTTGAGGCAGAAAGAACACAAGTTCAAGGCCAGCCTGAGCTACATATCGAAACCCTGTTTCAGAAAAACAAAAAGCAACAACAAAACGAGAAGACAAATATAGCAAATAAGGGTAGAAACACACACACGTACATTGGCACTTAAACTTTTATCCATGCCGAGCAAATGTTTCACATTTTTATTTAATAGACTTTAGATTGACTTTAAGAATTTTTGGTTTGGCAGCTCATCCTTTTTTAAATAAACTATTAAAGAAGATTACAATGAAGCATTGGTCTCTGGCTTGTCCAGATGGGGCATGTAAGATGTCAGCATAATTTATAAGGGTTTATTTCTCAAAAGTAGTTGCTAATATATGGAAAAATGATTAAGTTGACTTAATAAAGGATCCACTTAGGCTATGGGCATAAAAATTATGTAGCATCTCAATTTCATTTTTTTTTTTTTTTGAGACAGGGTCTTGCCATACAGCCCAGGTGACCTTGAATTCCCAATCCTCCTGACTGCTGAGGGTACAGATGTGCACCACCAGGCCTGGCCAGATTATTTTCTTGAATGTCCACTGCTTGCAAATCACAAGAATGGTTGATCTAATGTAAAGGGAAAGGAATAGCAACTGTAATGCAAACCAGAATTTATAATAGGCATAAACCAGGTGCTAGAAACATAGAACTACTTTGTTTGGTCTCTGTGTCCATGAAATGGTTGGAGATATTTAAGTAGTCAGAGATATTTGCTAAGAGGATATTTCAATTTTTAACTGTATTTAGCTGTGTTTTTTTTTTTTTTTTTGGACTCTGACCTGCACAATGAGAATAAAACCTAATTGATTTAATTCTGTCTACATTCTTAGCTGTGGACTTATGCTGGAAATACTGAAAATATGAATTCTTTTACAAACCACTGATGTGATTCTAATCATCTGTGAAAAGTCACATGATGTGAACCCAATAATAGGTCTTCTGAGTCTTTGCCCTGCCTGCCACATGAACAATAGAACTGTAGGGGTGGGTGTAGCTCGGTGGTAAGAGTGCTTGCCTTGCATGTGTGAGGCCCTGGGTTGTGTCCAGAGCACTGCAAAACACAAAACAAAAATCCCTGCATGCCTACAGTGTAATCACATGTCACTGATTTGATATTTGTTGTGTACCTTATTTAGTATATCAGCTTAAATGGTATTACAGGAGGCAAGTGAAAAAAAGAACTCTTGTTCATAGTTCTTTTCAAAGCTGGTAATCTAGGACTCAGATGCTAAGTCACAGAAGAGGACTGGTAGCATTACCCACTTCCTGCCTTAGCTTGCTTAAAACTGCCTGGAAACCAGGGATGATGCTAAACATCCTACAATGCCCAGGAATTCCCCCAATGACAGAATTTTCCAGCCCAATATGTGAATTATGCCAAGATTAGGAAACCCTGCTACAGAGGAAACTAAGGGAGTAGTGGGGAGAATGTTACATATCTTTCTGACATATATCAAGGAAGGCTGTCAGATGAATGAGAGAAGGTAAGGTCAAAGGACATGGGGGAAATTACTGTGATCAAAACTGGAATTTCCATTCTGAATACTAAGCTTCTGAAATTTTTATATGAATTATAAAATACCTAGCCCTAAATCAGTTTACAGATTACTGAATGTATGCATGCATGTGCATCTGTGTGTATATGTGTGTGTGTGTGTGTGCATAAATTTTTGCAGTGTTTCTACTAAAACAAATAGCTATATCAATGGACTTACTGACCTTTACTTTTAGCTGAGGTTAATGTACTTTGAGAGCACTATCAGAAGAAGGAATTTAGG